GCTATGTAATATAATTTGAATATTTGTTATCATTTTCATTGATAGTCACTGGACATCTGTAGGCTTTGAGCCGCAAATTTTAGTGTTAGAATGGCATATCCCGCAGTCATCTCGGAGGAATCCATTATTATTATATATTTTTTTGGAAATCACATGTCTTAAAGACTACATGGAAAAAGGAATAAAAAAATATTTATAATTATTGAGCTTAAAAAAAGTAATTTTAAATTTTTAGTTAATTTTAATAAATTTATGTCGTGAATTAATCTTCATACAATAAAAAATATTAAATTAAATTGATTATCTTAATACATTTTGATTCCAACTTATATTTGACAAGCAAGTGGTAACCACGAGCTTAATTAGCAAGAATATCCTCATAATATGTTTTTCAGAGTTTGATCAATGCCTTTAGATTTACTACAGTGTTCAAAGAGCAAGTTTTAAAAGGTGTTTAATTTGACCATTAGCGAAACGGAACATTTTATTATGAACTGTGCTGATTAATTACTTTGAATCTGTTCTACCTTTGGAGAAAGCACATGTATTCGCTCAGATATTAAGCTTTCAAAAAAACAGTTCCAAAGGCCGACGACAACAGATAATATTATAAGATCGACAACTTGACGATAAGATATATTTTAATATTGAAAAGAATTTCAACTTGTTTGAATGAAAAATATTTTACGTAACTGTGCATAGATAGGGCCAAACACTTCGGTTAGAATATAGAATAATCAACAACTTGTTCTTAAATAACACTATGATAGGAGGATAAAAGATATTATATTCTTCATGATTCAACCAAAATAGGAATTGAGTTGCAAATATGATTCGCTCACTATTTGTGCACGTGAAGATTTCTTGCCATCTTTATCTCGATTATTTATTTTCCACATATTTCAAAGTTTCATGAGGTAAATCCATTGTGGGCCTCTCATGTTCAAACTAATATTGAAGATTTTAATTTCGAACCAGACTGTATTATGTGGTAGTAGAGAAAAGGGTGAGAAGACTCAAAGATTGCGGTGCGCACGGGTTGGTAGCTGGCACGTAGTGACTAAATACATGTTTGCAAATAATGTCAATTGAGAATTTTTCAAGTCAAAGTCATATGTCCTACTTTGTTACGGTCATCGGTCAGCTTCAAAGCCTCTGGTTACGCTTATGCCATGTTACGTGGGTTTGTCTCCCCCATCACCTGTCCCATTAAATCATTTTTCTCAATGCCCAAAAATATTTAGCATCCCTCTTATTTTATATTTTCATCTGTATTTGCAATCATTAATATAGGGATGATTTGTTTGCATAATATTCATTATTCCCCTTCTCATTAATAACCATAATTTAATAACATGCTACTGGTAAATGTGCTCCTGCAAACATTGTTAATGCTGTCCAATTAACGTTATGAATGATTAGCTTTTAAAACACATTCATAAAGACACAAACTATGTATAAATTCGAGGGCAACTCAGGACATGACGAAATGATCTATAGTGAAAAACAAAAAAACATAGTTGGTATGTTTTTTTCTTCTAGATTATTGATATCTTGACACTATATTGGACATCTAACTATTTTAATTTAGTTTTAATCATCATGAAGAATAAAGTTCCCCTTTAAATTTTAAAGCTAGCAGCTGTTGAATTTTTAAATAGGATGAAACTTATTTGTTATTTTATAAGTATTATTTATATTGTTATTTTTATTATGATTAGATAAAGCTAATCAGCATTCCCTTCCTTTTTCGCATAATTAGTTTTCATAACATAATATTGTTAGTTTTGTTTAACTATCACCGTCATGACTTTTTTAAGGTGAAAGCAATTCACGTATTAATCCTAAAGTTATAAATATCTACTACTTTGATTTTTTACGTAACAAAATCATACTTTATAAAATATCATATACATCAATTGTTATTGTGCAATGGAAAATGTAATAAAAATATTAATTAGATAAAGCTAATTAACATTCCCTTCCTTTTTTGCATATTTAGTTTTCATAACATAATATTGTTAGTTTTACATATGATGATGGTTTAACTATCACCGTCATGACTTTTTTAAGGTGAAAGTAATTCACGTATTAATCCTAAAGTTATAAATATCTACTACTTTGATTTTTTACCTAACAAAATCAAACTTTATAAAATATCATATACATCAATTCTTATTGTGCAATGGAAAATGTAATAAAAATATTAAATTAAAGTATATGGTATTTTATAAAATTAAGAACCAAAATAAGAGTTTTGGAAAATTAAAGATCCAAGTGATAGCTACGTTTACAATTTTAAATTAATTGCTCAAAGATTTCATCAAACTCCTACTCTTCTCCTCTCAACGAATATATTTTCATTTATAGTGTGATAAATGAACAATACTCTAAGAAAAGTTAAAAATTTAAAGGGAGCACTTATGTAAAATTTGTTGTATAATGCCAAGTAATTAATAAATATCTCTTTTCAAAGTCACACATTACTTGGTTCATATCTCTTTTGTTGGGAATAGAGAATGAGATCCCAACCTCGCCCCCATTGAGGATTGGTCATTTGTTAGTTTTATGAAATCTTTCCAAATTAAAGTTCTTCAATGCTACAATTTAGTGTTGGATGTCGACAGTAAAAATATAGTCAATGACAACTCTGGCAAGTTGAGCATGAAAATAGAAGAAAGAGACCCAAATTCCTAAACTACTTGTCGCAACCCCACAACTATGACCATACTTCTAATCGCAAAAGACATTTTTTTATAAAAAAATAATATTTGTTTTATATTTATGTTGAAGAGATTGTGAGAAAAAAAAAATATTGAACTCTCCAACTATTTTAGAGATTCATTTGAAGGGTATTTTTTTAATTGGGTTGCCAATCGGTTGATGTTGGAAACAGAATGATTATATGTATTCTAAAATATCTCCTTGCCGATTATCTATAATTAATTAAGGAAAACATAAACCAAACCCTGCATTTGATCAAATAGGTTTTCCCTGATCAAAGTCAAGTAATATATTTTTACACTTTTTTTCACCATACGTATATATATCACGTTGTAGCCACCCTTTTCTCTGCCATTTTGCCAAAAAATAAAGAAGCAGGGAAGTAGGGGTCGTTTTCTTACAAACTTTATGCCAATTAGAAATTAGGATCAATGCTTTCATGACTAAATTTACTAAGTTTCATAAAATCTTTGAGAATAGTCCGTTCAATATAGAGGGTGGTCGTATGTAACACCAAAAAACTGTTAGCAATTAAATATGTTCTTATTAGTATAGTTTTGTATGATATAAATTATTTAATCTGTCAATGTAAATATTTTAAGCTTATGCTATGGGCATGATATATTTATTACATTATATATATATATATATATATATAATTCAAAATAAATAATATATTAAAAAAGTTCAAAATTTTACCATAGTGAACATGTAAATCATAAAAATGGTAAAATAATCATCATTAAACTTGTTAATATATTATTTTTAGAAAATATTTTCACTTAATTATGTATAAGTCTAATTGTAATATCCATCCTTGTATTTTAAATTAATTATCATAATAGTTCTTTTAATTTTAATTAATCATATAATTTTTATAGTTTATCAATTAATTAAACTATTTTAAAAAAATTATTTAATAGTTATTTTAAATATATCAAGTATGTGATATACGATTGATGTATAGAATTTTGTAAAATAAAGTATAGGAAATGTTTGTTTAATTATTTAAGTCTCAAGCAAAGAATTAGCAGATAAAACTTAAATAATTGAGTTAAATGTATTTTTGGACTAGTTGTTTGGCCATCCACCAGTAACTAAACCCGATTCTAATGAATGTGGAACTTAGCAAGAGAGTAGCTGTTTTTAATGAGCAACACCTAATTTAGAGATAAAATAATGGTCAATTAGGCCAGTGATTGATGATGTTTCGGTAATGTTAATCCAAAACTAAAATGATGAAATGTAAAAGGGAAAAGGTTTTGTTGAATTGTGATTCGCAGATACTGGTGTCTGGGAAGACATTAAAAAGCATAAAGCACAGTTACTGTTCGATGCAAATTGAGAGTAGTGGGGTCCTCTCGTAAGTTGTTGGGTGTGTTATTGAATTTGGAAGAGACTTATCCACAATGCAGACCTCGCAATTGTGTCCACAACCGGTGTACCCGTACTGTTTCATTCGTGTCATGCTCCGAATCGTCACCCTTCCTCGCCATCGTTTTTCACCAATATCTTTTTATATATATAAATATATTTTTACTTACATTCCTCACATGCTGCTGCATAATCATCTTACCCATCCATCAATTTAAATAAACAACTAAACTTTTGTGTTATTCTTATCATGCATGAATTAATTTTTTCTTTCAATTTCCTTTATCCAAAATTACACTATATTTATTTCATAATTATCATAATTTTTTCATACATGCTAAATTAAAAAAGAAAAAAGAAAAAAGAAAAAGAGGAGGCTATATGTAGAGTATCCATTGACTAATTATTTTAATAGGACAGAATTTTCAGAACCTCATAATATTCCTAGCGGATCCATAAAAATGCAAAAGAAAGAGCTGAAAAGAAATGAAAATAGAGATAAAACGGTATAAGCAAAGATCCGGGGCGATTATTCAGCGAAAGACAAGGGAGGGAGCAAGTTGTCTGCAATGGTAAGACAAATGACGTCACAAATGTGCAATTTTCATCAGCGAAAATGGACAGAAACTCATAAACAAAGAAAAGAAAAGGGACACAAAATAAGCACGTGACAAAAATCCCCTTCCACACCCTTGCCGTTTACACTTTACACATGCGAAACTTCACCGAAGCTAACTCGACGACCCCAACACGATGCAAAAAAGCAATATAAAATAAGTCTCACCATCCACAAATAAATTAAAATAACAAAACACAGAATTCAAGAGATAAATCCAACCCCAAGTGCATGAACCTAAAGCCCCTATAAATTCCCACTTCCATTTAACCCTTTGAGTTCGAATATTCAATTCAATACCTTCTTTTAAAAAAAAAAACCACATCCCCACATCCCCACATCCCCTCGTTCCCATTCCAATTCACTCACTCTCTTTCGCAATACTAAAACCGCTAACCGGAGATGTACGGGCAAAGTACCTACGAATCAGATTTGGCCCTTTTGGATTCTATTCGCCGCCACTTGCTGGGCGAGTCCGAATCCATATTCGGAGCCCCGACGAGTGTTTCCGGTAACGCCCGTGTCTACTCTCGGAGCTCCAGTTTCAGCAGCTTGTACTCGTGTTTGAGTGATAATTGGGGCGAACTTCCGCTAAAAGAGGACGATTCCGAAGACATGGTGCTCTACGGCGTGCTCCGTGACGCCGTTAACGTTGGCTGGGTCCCATCTCTCGATGCCCGGTCACCCGAAAGCATTTCGTCGGATTTTCCTGCCGAGATTGCGGTTAAATCCGAGCCTGATGTGATGCCGCCGGCGAACAGTCCCCCAGCGGTTGTGCCCGTGATTTTGCCGGAGAAGAAGGTTTCTCCAGCGAAGGGGAAGCACTACCGCGGCGTGCGGCAACGGCCGTGGGGGAAGTTCGCGGCGGAAATTCGGGACCCGGCGAAGAACGGTGCTAGGGTTTGGCTTGGAACGTTTGAGACCGCTGAGGATGCTGCGTTGGCTTACGATCGTGCCGCGTACCGGATGCGAGGGTCGAGGGCGTTGCTGAATTTTCCGCTTCGGGTTAACTCCGGCGAACCCGACCCGGTTAGGGTTACGTCGAAACGGTCTTCGCCGGAGCGTTCGTCTTCGTCGGAGAGTGGGTCGTCGGCGAAGAGGAAGAAAGTGGGGGTGACGGGTCAGGGGCAAGTGGGAAGTCAAGTGGCGGAGTGTACACGTGGCGAACAGTTATTGGTTAGTTGATGCATAGTGCAAAGACAAGAGCCAATGTGGTTCTGTACTTGAGAAATTTTAGGGGAACCAATACTGTTGTGTTTATTAAATACACTTTGTAATTATCTGAGAGATGCGTGTGTGGCACTTACCTACCATCCAAGCCAATTTTGGAAGCAAGAATAAAAGTGGAAGATGAAAGAGAAAATTTTAGTAGAGATGATGGTGACCCCTCCAGAAGAAAAAATGGGGGTGAGAGTGGAAAATAACAAACAAATGATGAAATTTAGAAGATAACGAGGGAAGGTGAGGTTGTGTATTTTAGCATTGTGAATACCAAATTTGTTATTTGTTTGTTCAACATTAATAATGTGTTAATTCTGATAAATCAGACAAGACCTTAACTTTGATTAATCTATGATTGATTGTTGGCAATTGTCATTCTGTAAAGTATGAATCGCTAATTGGAAATCAAACACATCAAAATAAAAATATTGACACCAGTGATTAAATATACTAAAGCACAAGACAAACGCACTGAATGTGAGAATGGGTTGTAGCTATAACTAGCATGTTAAAAACTAATGCTCACTACTTGTGAAAGTATATAAATTTTATTAACTTTAATTTTTAGATATAAACTTAAATATTTTATTATATAAAATTGTAAAAGTGATAAATACTTTTTAATAAAAAATCATTATTATTAGTTACTTAAATTTATTTTTAAAAATTAATATTAATATTTTTTAAGGCATACATATGTTTTCATCATATCTTTTAACACAGCTAGTGCACCACAAGTTGATTTAAGGCAACTCACTAAACAAATTGTTTGCTTAACTTCATAATCGTTCATTATATGTTTTCGAGAAGACATGGGGGGCAATTCGGCATATGCAGCCTTGCATTCACACGTTGAAGAGCAAATAATGTCATGGGCCTTTTTCTCTATGCAAGAAAAATTGAGTCCCTAGTTATATTAATTTTAAATTATTTATTATGACACTATTTTTACGTTATTATTAGACGTTTAGGTATCACGTTATTCATCTAGTGGAGAACCCCGGAATAACAAAACAAAACATAGTAGTAAACATTATTTTTTAAAGTTAAGATTCTTATAATAATTCAGATTATTCAGTTACAATACAATAAATTATTTAAATATTTTCAAAACACGTGTGACCATATAGTTCACATTTTTCTTAATAATTTATCGTTTATTTCTGCATTATGAATAAAACAAATAAATAACGTTTTTGTTTCGTCTTTTAATGGAAACATGGTGTCCCACACCACTGTCATGGCCATCATGGTTGCGATAAATGTTTTGATTTTAAAAAACGATAAACACTTATCAATTGGTTGATAAGACCGTTTCGAAAAAAAAAAACCAATAAGTATCTCGCGCATTGGAAGATATTTTTAAATTTTAAATAAATACAAATTAAAATAATATTATAAAATATTGTAAAAAGTTACTTACAAAATTGTCATTTACTTACAAATAAAAATGATCAAATATTAAAATAGTATTTATTAATATAGTTTTTGTTTTAAAAAATGTTAGTATAAACTTTAAAAAATTATACTAACATATATTATGTATTACACTAACACTGGATATATTAATAGCATATATTAATATTTTCACAAATAAAATCATTTGTTAGTATTGTATATTATATTGATAATATAAATTTTTAAAGTTTATCCTGACAAATTATTTTTTATTAAACAAAAACTATACTAATAAAATTTATTTCAATATTTAACAAGTTTGTTTGTTGATAAATAATACTTTTTTAGTGATTATGCATAAATTAAATATGTAAAAGCTAAGTAGTTTAAATTTAGGATAAAAATAATAGATTTTAAAAAACAATTTAAAAATACTAGTTTCGATTTTATTTTTTTTTGTTTAATCATAGGCACAATAATGTTCAAGTTGAAAACATCTATAATATGATGAAATTATTTTTTCCATCATTTTTTTCATATATAAAATTTAAATTCAAAATTTTATTTAGGGAGAATCAAATATCTACTACTTAAATCAATTCCTGTTAATTAGTGAGTATGTTAAGATTTAAGGGAAAATATTTTAATATAGTCGATGAAAAAATAATTAAAGCTTGTGATCAATTCAAGGAAATATTAATTTATAAAATAAAAATAATTAATAATCTGTGAATGATGAGATATGATAAATGTTATTTTCCTTATAGAAAACGATAAACACTTGTATTGACTGATTAAATGATTTTGAATAAAAATTACCGAATTTATAAGATAGATTTTCTTGTTCATATGTGGTAATTGTCTGGTCAGAATGAAGAAAAAGAAGATGAGAGTAATTAAGCAAACAAGTGAACATATGTGAAATAAACCTTTAATTAATATGATTAAATTACTGAGTAAAATTGTTGTGGTTTGAGATAAAAATGTTAGGTGCGCTTTATTTGGCTTTGGAAAGAAGTCCAAGCAGTGTTCTGGCTTATTCTCTCATATAATTTAACAAATTCAATTCAATCAAGTATATGCAGGAAAAAATAGAAGACGAGTTAAATTTGGACTCAATGTAGTAGTATCTTTTATATTAATACAATTGAATATAATGTGTTTACACTAATAATAACCCATATACGTGTAATTAAAATGAATACAAAATAATATTAAATGTTAATCATTGAAATTAATGTAACTATTAAATTTATTGAATGGATGCATTTATTATTACCAAATGATAGTTAAATATTAAAAAACTAACTTCTGAAATATATAGTGAAATGTATATAAAAATTAATCATCATCAATTATCACTAAAAAACTACTTTATAAAACGTTGTTTAAAATGAACAAACCAAATGCATAATAAGATAATTCAGAAAAAGAATTGGTAAATGAGTATACTAATTTATCACTTGATTATTATGTTTAATTGTTATTCTAAATAAACTATAATGAGTTAATTTTAATTTAAATATATATTATAAATATTCTTCTTTTTTATATTATATATTATTCATAAGATATACTTTAATATAATAAGAAAATAATGATATAATTTCTTATTAATATAATTTTAAGATTATTTTAATAAAATTATATGTTAAATTCTAATACATTCTTATTTTATGTATAGTGAGACAACGTCTGTGAATGAAATAAATTCTTTGATACATAAATTTAGCTATAACTTGATGGTGCAAAAATATTAACAATTAAGAAGGATAAGTTATTTCAATATGAATATGAAGAGAAGAGGCCATACTCATTCTTTTATAAATTTCATTGACTATATTAATAACTAGAGTATTGGCATAATTAAAAGATCATTAAAATAATACAAAATTTTAAATAAATTTCGTAAAAGAACTAGTAATTTATGTCATGAATAATTAATTATATGATATATTTCAATAATTATATGTGTATATATAACCATATTATTAATAAAAAAAATACATATGATATTATAAATATTGTTTATTATAATTCATTTATAAAAAAAATCCTTAATTAACTAACATGTACTATGTGTTTAGTAACGAGTGAAATTAGAGTCACGCTTCTTCAACTGTATATTAATGCGTTGAAAGAGGATTTGAAAATCTCAAGAAGATAGTTAATAATTTTAATGAATATTTTTATCTTATTTTAATATTTTCAATACAATCTATCAAAGTATTACTAAATTTATTTAATAAATTTCGTAATTTAATTAATATTATAAATTATAAAAACTATTTAATTAAATATTTTACCTAAACAAACATCACATTACATTGTTAAGCCTAATATTTCCTCGTTTGAGAAGCTAAACAGCGTTCAAATTAGTTTGTTTATTTTAAATTTAACCCACTGCAAATGCAATTTTCACTTTCCAGAAAACGTTACATTGAAGTAAAGCAACTCTTCCTTTCTTTCAATTGGCGTCATAGAAACAAATAATTGAGGGTGTTGGAAGTTCAAGGCAAACAAGTGTTCTTAGGTCTCGCCAACGTTAGCACATTTATTTAGGCATAAATGAAAGAGTAAGAAATTAGCAAAGATAAATAAATATATTCAATCACAAATTCTATTTTTTATTATTAATTTATTAGGACACTGATAAGCGACTTTTCCGATTGAACAGTTTTAGAAGGATAAGTTACATTTTATGAGAATTCTCCAATGGTGATGAGGTTAACCTCAACCGCCAAAAAAAACATCGCACGTGGGTTCTTACGACAACAGTATGTAAGGCCTTGCAGGTTTGTCGCAGCTTATCCTCAACCTTTGACTTTCAAACTTTGACCTGACTTTTCTTTCCCCTATGAATTTTCAACGATTCTTGATCGCAAATGAACATTTATTTTTCTTTACTTAAAAGCAATAAGAGAGAAAGGTAGAAAAAACGATATTCTTTTGAGCTTTTTCAATATTTTGAACGCAGTATATAAACATGTACACACACACAGAGAGAGTCCCCCAAGAGAGTAGCTTTGAAGTATTAAGAAATTGATATAAACGCCTCCTCAGGCACGAAATTGGTGAAATCAATCACTTTCAAATTAGACTAATTTGGACTCATATTCGGGTCCAATTAAGCCTAAAGCAGCAAATTTGGAATTGGATCTATCCGACCCGGACATGTGACAATTTGGATATAACAGTTTAGACTCAGACTCAGCCAATATTTGGGGAATCAAGCACCCAAGCAACTACTTCTCATTGTTAGGAGAATTTATTATATGATCTAACGTGATTACGAGTATTGTTTCAGTCAATCACCAAATAATATACAACTGTTTTTAATATTTTTTATAAATTAAAAAGTTATATAATGTGTTGTTTGGTGGTTAGTCAAGATTACAAACATACAATAATCTTAGACTATAAAATAGTTTCTTCCTTACCACAGTGTTTATGGCATATTGTATAAAGAAGACGTCCATCAATTGTCAAGTATTTCTTGGTTGACTCGTGCAACGCATAAACTATACTAATTTCTTCCTCAAAGTTAACTTTTAGACGTGTTGTATGTATTTTATAATTTAATGTTATGTTAACGTATCGCTGAATTTAATATAAAACAAATAGACGACTGTTGTAAATGCATTTTGATGATGATACGATGTTATGTTATGTTTACTAGGTTCCAAATTTTGCAAAAAGTCTTATATTAAAAACTAAGAAAAATCTCAACCAAGATTTTATAAAAAAAAAATGATGGGAGCATATTAAATATTATTTATTTATTTATTAGATATTGTAACTAACTTAAATCGTTCCCCTATCAATAATATTACTGATTTAATTAGTTTCATATTCATAACATTACTATTTAGTTCGTTACTCAATAAACTTAATACTAAATTTTTTATTTAGTCATAAAAATTACAGCAAAATACATTTTTTAAGTTCCTTTGAGAGATATTTAAATTATAGTTTCCCTGTAGATTATTTTGAAATATATGTACATCTACTAAAGGAATAGCATGTAATGCATTTTAATTTATTTTAATGCAAATAAGTCTTTTAGACATCTTATTCCCTCTCATTGCAATTCTTGAAATTTAATTTTAAATATATATTATCAAATTTTGAGTTTAGAAGATGAAATAAATATTTGATAAAAATTCAAATTCAATAGTAAAAGTGTTAAAAAGCACATTCCACACCCTAAAATACCAAACAAAATAATACAAGTTCAAAATTAATAGTTAATGATACTTGAAGTTGCAGAAAAAAATGTCAACAAGATGCACATTTATAGTTATTCACTGTTGTTATATATATTGAGGGGAGGATGGAAGACATTATTCTAATGTTGTTAATTAATTTATATTTAATTATTAAAATTATATTATTTTAAACTTTAAGTTTTCAATATGTACAAATACATTAATATGCTTTTTAAAAAGGAATATGTGGTTGTAAAAAATAAAAATAAAAAAGTTAACTGGATTAAGGATGTCCTAACAACTACTAACCGAAACCAAAGAGTAGAATAGTAAAGATGTCCCTATAGCTCTTTATCCTTGCCTAATTGGGCATATATTAAGATTTGAACAACATGTATGGCATATTATGGCGCATTAGTGATAAGGGCTAAAAATCACAACTATATATGGTAGTTTTGGGAGGAACTAGTGGGCAAAACCTCGTCATAGCTTTGATTTAGGGACAGTAACAATTCTGTTTAAGATATTTAGCAAAGGTTACAGGAACCTTCCTAAGACTACTAGGAATATATGAATATAGTATCTTAATGATAAATATGAAAAAGGGTTTTGTTGGAAGAGGTTGTATTGATTTTGATAATCTCTCCATCTCGAAAGGAAATGACTTATGATTGACATTTGAAAGATACTTTCAGTGTAAAAATCCAAAACGAAACTATATGAATATAGCAAGTGAGAACGACCTATATTCAAATGGATTCTATACAGTACTACTATGAACTTAACTCATACAAAACTATAGCCTTTTAACTCTAAGCTTTCTCCAAGTGCATTCAGTGTTTGCGCGAGCTGTTGCTACCTGAACAGTGTACATCACAGGAAAATTAGATATATAGATGGGTCTGATCCAAGTTGCAGATCTAAGAAACAGTTAAGTGAATTAGTCCATACAGATAATAGACCTGCATATAAATAATTGGGCCTTTAACTTTAAACTTGTGGTGTAGAGGCAACTGTGCAAAAAAAAAAAAACAATTAAAACATAATCACAGTTAAACCAAATTGAAAAAATAATTAAAATAATGTAAGCCGAATTCTAAATTGAAAATAGGTGAAAATTTTTCTAGCTTAATCTGTAGTCTTAAAGTTTGAGGTTTCCTAAATCCATCATAGGGATACCTGTGATTTAAAAAAAAAAAAAGATTGATTTTAAACCAAATGTTTAAAAAAGGTTTGAAATTTATTTTATTTTTACAAAATTAATTTTTAAAACCAATCTTAAACTAATTTCAAAATAAATTTTGCTAAAAAACAGTTTACAAAGCAATCAAATATGGTTTCTGCCAAAGAATTTATTTTATAATTTAATATTTGTCCAATAAAAAAAAATACATGTAGATTCGTATAAAAATTGTGTAATCACCTTTCGTACTATTTAGCAGTTCTCAAATCTAGTTCATATATTTGGTTTTAAGGATTTGGTCAAAAATCAAACCAACCACGTCCCAATACTAAGCGCATGTTTTTGTTACTTTAGGATATGACTATTGCGTTATCAATGAATTTTGTTACTGTGGAGAAGAACGGTTCGAAAAGAACAAATGAGTCGTAATATGTCCAATATTTGTAGTTACTATTAGAACAAAGACCCAAACAAAATAAATTTTCCCTTTGCTTGATAAACATCAACTCATATAAATTGCTAATCTGATACAATGCTCTATGGACCACTAATCAGGTGGGTCGCTCTCTTCTTTTTTATTTTTGTACACAATTTGATATTAGACAGTTGACTTTATCTAGACTTTTGGACCAGAAAGAAAACCCTTCATCAAAGTTCATGGGATTTCTGACCCAAAAAAAAAAAAAAGCAAAATAAAATTCATTGAAGATCTCAACATCAGAATGATGTCTAATATATTTTCATTGCATAATTTACAATCTTCTTATTTTTTATGTCTATATTAATTTTCTAAATTACTAAATAAAAAACATATACATTAAATATGTTTTATATTTTTAAGATAATAAATACATATACTGTTTTATTTAATACTTATTTTATAAAATATGTAAAAAATATTATTAGAAAGTTAAATTAGAAAATATAACAAAGCTCACTCTTGGTAAGAACTAAGAAACTTAAAATTAGAAGGGGAAAAAAGAAATGGAAAGGGATATTCCATAGGAATGTTGAATCTTCTAGTAAACAAATGACTCAACCAAGTAAGTGAGGCACTCGTGATGAATCTTTCATAAATTTTTATGTTGATAAATAAACTAAGTCTGATTTGTGAAATAAAGTTTTGGTTTGTACGGGGTTTATAAAAACAAGGGACACATAGTTGTTATGGAATTTTTTAAAGAATTTTGATATTCTCTTATTGTTGAATAATAAAATATGATCAAAATGTAAAATGAAAAGCAAATTTTTATTAAATATAATTAGTGAAACTTATAGCTAATTATACTGAGTTTTATTTGATAAAATGTGCCTTTTTTTTGTAACATGATTATATCTTGTTATTTAGCAAGAGAAGATTTTAAAAAATTGATAAATGGGGCACGAAGGCCTGAAAAAAAAATAATAAATGATATCAGCCGAGGAAGATCTAGGTCTTACATTATACTTCATATGAATCCATTGCAAGCTATATGGCCAGCTATTTTGCACTCTTTTGATTTCTCTAAAAACATGAGCAATGCTAATAAATCTACATTAAGTTTTCAACTATAGATTAATTTCTCTTATCAAAGGATAGCTATTAGTCCTGAATGAGTTGATAAGTTGAACAGTGACCTTAGACCCTAATTTAATTTTGATACAATTAATCTTCTTATTCTTCACAAATGAAGGTCTTATAAGTAACACTAGAAGATCTATTTTTACAAGCGAACACGATTTTATATAGATTACTCATGAAACTTGCCGTAGACTCTTCCTATTGTTTAGGTTAGATAGACAGTATATAATTGCATACTATATCTAATTTGTTATTCTAATATGCATTAATAGTAAAATAAAATAAAAATCTATCTTGCTTTTATGCTATCTTACTTTTATCCTATTCATCAAACAGCCCTTAAAATTGTCACAAAGAGAAAGTGTGGGTGCATTGGAAGAGTAGTACTCTTTGAGACTTCCTGTTTGGACATAGTAAAACCCATTTGGAATATTGGGTAATGAAAGAGTGCTGGTTGACTTATACGAGTATGATGTTAATGCCTCAAAATGCACTGAGTCATCGATGAACATTTCACCGCCAAAATGACTTTAGATTGGCCAAGTTCTTGAAGTGGGCTATGATAGCAATCTGGTGTATTCAAGACCATGACGAAATTGGTGGACCAAAAAAAAAGACCAACATCAAATTAGGCCTACATTTGACAAAAAAAAAACTGAAAATGAAGCCCACAAGACTATCATCTTCATCCTTCCCGTAACTTCTTCAATGAGCTAGTCCCAGTAGGGTTTAGAATCCAACTACCAGGAAAAGTCTAACCCTTTTTGAAATTTGCCCTTGACATTAAAAGAAAAAATATTATTATATACTTTAAAATACATATTAAAATAAATGTTATTCTATATTGAGAAACAGTAAAAATCAAGCATTTATAAAAATATAAAGAACTTGTAAAAATAATTTATAATTCTTGCAAATTCTTTTTAATTTATTTCAATAAACTTCTTAATATTATTTATTAAACTTTTTTTTACCTTATTATTATAAATTCTATAATTAATTTATACCATAAATTCTTATGAGCTAAAAAGGTATCAAACAAATACTTAATTAAACTATGTTTTGCGTTATGGTTTTGGGAGTTCAATTAGTCCATTCGTAATATTCATAAAATTTACTCGCACTGCATCAGTGCTTAGCGAACGATGCTCAGATTGATACATCCTTGAATGAAAATAATAATAATAATAAATCAGAGCATAAATACATGGAAAGTGAATAAAAAGCTGCATGGATGACTGGGGATTATACTACAAGTAACTTCAAGAATTGCTTCCACAAGACCCCAAATTGGCTGCCTTAATGTCCATCCCTGGAATTCTTTGATATTGCAATGACATTGAAGTTGTGGGAATCAGGATTTTTCTGGATCATGCTCTGGATGACTTTAGCTGCATCCTGTTGTAAATTTAGATATACAGTAGTAATTAAAAATAACAGAGTAATGAAAGATACATGTAAGAAGGATAGCAAACCAAGTAACTTCAGCGGTTGAAAATGCCACACACACATCACATATATACAACACTAAAATCCTATATTTATAATGGTGTATGCGGGTATAAATAGGTGGCAGTAACCAAGTCCACAAGCTAATAGTTAGGCACCTCTCCATGGTTGGTCATGGCACGAAACACTGGATTTTCTACTAAACAAATCGTTGACTACTTGTTGCACTATAACTTCAGTAGTTAGTCAGTCAATTGATGTAGATCTAATAGTAATTGCATTAGATCATGATTAGACCATGGCTCTGTTCGGGTAAGCTCGTGGATAAATCTTTATAAGAGAAGAAAAAATAGAAAAGTATGGTTTTTTTATAAGAAGAGTTTTATTGTTTTTTTATATTGTTTTTCTTCTCTTAGGACAACTTATCCATAAATACACCCAAATAGGGCTCAAGCATAGTCCATAGTGTTAAAACAATTTCTACCGTTTATCAATCCCAAATTCAATTTTCTTGTAGTAACAGTATGAGAGAATAATTCACCAATAATCATACCAATTATCTCTTTGATCATGGATTCTTCACCAAAGCTCTTGCATCTACACACCTCAACAAAATATGGTTGCAAAATGTAAGCATGAACACCTTTCAAAGGTTTTCCATTCCTTGATGACGAAAAATGTTCCAAATACATATTCTGGAGGAGCTGCCCTTACCGCAGCACCACCTCACAGCAGATTACCATCAAAACCACTAAATCTTTGTACCCATATCAGCTGCTCGCTAGGCTCAAGGAGAAATATGTCCTTGACTTGTTGAAGACTAGAAAGACTGGATGCAAGCCAGCGAATACTCATTTAGAGAGAAATTGGAAGCAAAAATCCAGCAAGGATGAAGGTCTAGTAAACTAGGGATAGCTCCAAAGGTTGTTTGGGAAATTGAAACATTTGATAGTTACAAGGCCTGATATTGCCTTTAGTGTAAGTATAATAAGTTAGTCTATGGGTCAATGCTCACTTTGACATCTCTAATCTCAAGGGAACTTCACAAAGGAATTCTATTAACGAAAAACAAGACAAGGGACTCTAGGTCAACTAAAGTTAGTAGGTCTGCATCTTGCTATTGCGTGTGGGGAAACCTTGTTACATGAAGAAGCAAAATACAATCAGTTGTTACAAGGAGAGCATGGAAGCTGAGTTCATGGCAATAGCACTGGCAAGTGTGAATTAACGTGGATTGAGAGACTCCACAAGACATTAAATTCTCTAGAGGTCCTAGGAAGCAACAACAAATCAGTAACAAGCATTTCACAACCCTGTCCAGCATGATCAAATGAAACATGTAAAAATTGATAGGAATTTTATCAAAGATAAAATTGTTTCAGGAGTTTTAAATATCTTCTATATTCCAACAGGACACCACGAGGCAGACATAATCACCAAAGCATGATGAAGACCCAGGTTTGAAATTCTTATTTGGCACAATGGAAATGATTAAATATCTATTCACATGGTTGAGGAGAGTGTGGAAAGAATCTTGGTCATGGGAGGTATCACTTAATGCTAGGAGCAGTAAAGGTTGTACCATAATCTCTATCCTGATTGCAAGCTACTGCAGGTTAGGAGTAATTTCCTTACTCTTTCAACGCAATAAGGAGAATGTCTTTCTAAAGCCTTTTGTTCACTAACATTACAAAAAGCACTATCTATCGATAAAATTTCTCCTAAAAGATGGATGCTTCAATCCAGTTTAAATGCCAAAGCTACTTTCCAATAGAATTGTGGCCTTCATTCATCATTTAAATTCAAAAGTGATAACAGTACTACTTGCAGTTGTTAACCAAATCAAATCTTTTTGCTAAATACAAGTCATTAAGGAACATTATACCCTTAACATTAAAAGATATTTACCCTCAACAAAGTACTTGGGGAGGATGGACCTTGAGGTATCGGTCCCAACTTTCTTCCATCAAGCTCATACAGTTCACCTGCATATTATGATTGCAGAGAATTTAATCAGATAAAATGTAGGCATGCAAATGGGAGAACAATAAATTGATCCAGACATGTAAAAGATACCAGATAGTTTAGTTATAGGCTTTATGCTGCTGGCTCTTACGATTTAGGGTGTCCTAAGGTACACAGCTTAATTTATTAAATAAACTCCAATTACATATAGTCTTCTACTATAAATTTGACCATGAAACTTAATGGAATAAACTGAAAAAGGACTTATTTTGATTAGTTAGACTAAGATGCTTATTGAAATAACTTAAAAAGAACTTACGCAAATCATAAACCATTTTTATAATTTCTCTATAATCTCTTCTAAATGATCTAGGTTGTTACTATTTTTTTGTTTTGTTACCATTGTATCTGGGTATATTATTTTTCTCTTTTTACAAATACGACACGAGAAAATACTAATCAGTTATATAAAGAAATTACCATCAACACAAGTAAAGCAGATGAAATGGGTGTCCACATTTTCTGATGCCTGCATTACAAATAGTTTAGGGAAAAAAAAAGTCAGACAAGAAAGGAAATTATTTGAAATAAGCAATTTTGTTTGTTGTCTCAGTGTAACAACATTTGATATGAAAACACTTTTGACAGTTACATCTCCTAAAATCTCAGTAATTTACATTTTTAGCTTGTTGAACCCACCTATCTATGTGTGTGTTTGTAATATATATATATATATATATAGAGAGAGAGAGAGAGAAAGAGAGAGGAAAGCTGATAATTTTTCAGTTCACATTATGAAAAATAACTTTCCACATATGTTAGATGATAGCGTTCCCACTTTTACCAGATTTGCTCTCCCTAAAATACTACTGCTTATATAAAACTCATTCAGCTGGTAACAGAGATCTTAGTTACTTCTGATATGGATGCTAAAAACATTTATGAACTATTCTACAAAAAATATATTCTTAAGTCTAAACTATGACCCCCTCCCAGATGCTTTTAACTTGTGAGAACTTTTCGTTGATCATATGCCGCATACAACTGCAAAATCTTTCAACAAATGTACTACTAGTGTTAAGCACTGTATACTCTGGCTACACAGAGTTGGGAAAGGAGATCAGGTATTTTCATTCATTTTGCGCCATCCACACACCAAAAAAAAAAAAAAAAACTTTATGGCAATATGATTTAAGTATTTGTTCATATATTCAAAATAAAAATTATTTTTTATCCTTGACATAGCATTGTGATTATATCCTTTTGACCTAGATAACTTTTCTCTTGCTTTTTCTTGTACAAAAGAAGAAATTCATTATAACAAAAATGAAATGCTACTCAGTTCCTGAGGTTCCCTCCTAATGGGGCTAGGGAGGGTAGATGTGCGTAGCCTGGCCTCCTAAGTGGAGAGACCATTTCTAGGATTTGAATTTGCAACTTCCAAATCATAAGGCAACAACCTTATTGTTGAGCCATCACAAATATCATTAAGATGAAGAGAAGAATGTTACAATGAAAAGTTTGGGGGATAAGGTATCCTCCATCATGAAAAATAAAACAAAGAAAAAAAGAGAACACCAAAGTTACAAAGCTACCCAATCCCTCTGTATATCTGTTCCGAAAACCCTGTTAAAAAGACCATGTTCTTCACACCTAATAGAAACCAACAGCCTAATTGTATCCCAATTAAGCTACTAAATCAATGAAACCTCCTTAAAATACAATGATTATGCTGTACCCTAACCAAATGCATCAATAGAAGCATAGATTACACATTGCCACAAAAATTTAGCATTTTAGCTTCTTTACTTACACCAAAATCACTAAAGCTAGTCACCAAACATTGGTCCAAGTACTGGGCCTGTAAGCAAGAGGCTACATACATTTTATGCTGAGTTGACCATACTACTACCAGCATAAGCAAATCATTTTGAAATTTCAGAATAGCAGCTACTTCTATTTTAAAAAGAAACTTCTTAGTCCCCTTTGGCTTGTAAGAGTATGTCCTCATGTTTAAGTCATACAAATTCAAGTAGGAAGCAGTATCTACTTATAATTTTCTATCTCAAATGAAGATAAATGGTTATTTGTATGGGATGTGACAAGTTTACAAAGAACCATCTTAGTACAAACTCAGTTACCCAACTTAAATTTGAACATCGGTTCAAATCTTTAGTCCAAAAGGCCACTTCTAAATTCCCAGGATAACTTATGATAAAAGAATCTAGAAATAAAAACTATGATATGAAACTCCCAGCTCAAGTATCAGTTTATCATTTCCAAGGATTATTAATGATAACAAGTCAACAAACAACTAATATTAAAAGCAATTTTTTCCAATATTATTGAATATATTTTAAAGATAAGAAGGCCAACGCCAAACTGAACCTTTCATCACTAGAACAATATCACTAATACATCACAACATAACGCCCTCCCTCCCCCCCTCCCTCAATTTCCTGTTGCTTTAAATTTAATCAATAAAGTTAAAAAGTACCGTTGTATCACCAGCAGTGGCTGCTACTGAATGAGCAACTTCCATCTCTCTGTCATTCTCAAGAAATACAGCCCGCTGCAAGATACAACATAGTTAGAAAATACCAAATGAACATTATATTTAACTGACCAATATTGTCAGTTGCTTGCATTTATGAAATATAAGAAAGAAAGAAAAGGAGGTTCATGTAGGAAGAAAAACCTGGAACGGATCCAAGTTTGCAGTAGATTTAAAGAACTTATCGAAGAATGACCCCTCAACTGGTAACCACAAAAGTAACACAAACTGAATAAGATTTAATGGTTAATGCAATAAAAAACATAACTGAATCTATGTGAATTTTAAAAACTTACTAAGCTTGACTTCAGAAGTTATGTTCCCAAGTGCATGAAGAAGCCCGATTGTACCACAAGCATTACCCACGGTTTGCTTCATATAATACACTCTACTGCTACATTCCTACGCCAGAACAAAAATAAATCAAGGCATGTAGCTAAACAATTAACTATACAATATATGCTACCTAAATTTCAAATCGATCAGATATTGTTGAATAAAGTAATCAACAAAGCTTGTAAACCAATCCAACAACACAATACAGTCAAACAGAATGCACAATTCTTTGAAACAAGGAAAACGAATCCTCAAAATTTGATGAAAAGATTAGATAATTAGATATATCCACAAACCTTTTTTTCACCGTCCTGTTGCAACCTCTCTTCTTCTGTCTGATTAGAGAAGTAACAGATAAATATGATATGACAGTAAAAATAAAAATAAAAAAGACCCCAAATGTTAGTGGGCGTGGAAACTAACCTTAGCGGTAATGGGATAAAGAAAAAGGACGGCAAGAACTGGCTTAGGAACCATTTCCAAAAGCTCTTCATCTAAGCCATAAACATCATAGCACTCAGCCTCATCCTCTGGAAGGCCAAGACCCCAAAGGAACTACGATTCACCGAAAACCAAATAAAAAAAATGTAAAATAAAAAATGAAAGAGAGAGAGATTGGTTTGCATAATTTGTTATATGAGTAACTATGTGTTCAATAATATACTATTCCAAATCTTTGAAAGATTTAGCTCCATGAAACATAAGGAAGAGAGAAAACCTGGTTCATGACGTCAGGGTTAGCTTCAAGAGGAAGCCACCTTTTCGCAGAAGGGCGTTCGTCTAAGGTGGCCATTTTTATTCCTTTCAAGTTTCTGCGGTTGTTTTTGTGCTCTATTTCTCTCTTCCAAGTTCTCAGTCAAAGTATATAACATAGCATACCACTGCAGAAGTGAAAGTGACGCAAATATGTAATTCAAAATTAAGAAAATTAATCTTGGTAATGTAACTGGCATACGTGTGTAAATTAATTAATTTTTTAATAAAAATAATCAAATATCATAAAATTTAAATGTAAATAATATTAAATTTTATATTTTTAATTAATAATAATAATAATATTATTATTATTATATAACAAATTTAGTAACATGAAACTGAGAAAAAAAATTATATACTAACTTAGTAGTTGTGTAATGTACAATTATTTTATTTTATAATAAAAATATAATTTAGTATTAAAAATAAATTTTATGAATATAAAATATTAAAATATATTATAAACATTGAAAAATAATTCTTTATATAATTATCAAACTAATTAAATATAATATATTAATAAAAATTAAATTGATTGTATTGCATATCTCAATAAATGGATATTTTATGCATGTAATATTATGTTAAAATGATTTAAATATAATAAATTTTATCATCTTAAAAAATATATATTTTTTCATAAAATTAAAAAATATAATTATTAATTTTTTACTAAAATTATTGTCAATAATAAATTAAATATTATAAATATAAAAAAATAAAAAATTAAATGATAATTTTAATCGTTAAAGTTTAAAATAAATTAACAAAATAATAAATTAAATAACTACAACCAGAAATAATATAATTTATATGTTATTTTTAATTGACTTTAATTTTAAAATATACAAATAACGAAATTTAAAAAGAAATAATTTTAATACTTTACTTTTAAGATAATAGACTCTTAATTATAATTCAGAGTTGATAAATAAAATAAAAAATATGTAAATTATATGAATTTTTTAAAAGTTATATATAATTTTATTTTTCACAACAAGAAGTCTTGTATTGTTATTATTATTTTGTCATTGATAAAAGTTTTACTTTGTAAAGACATTTAGAACATGTTTGATTACTGTTTTGAAAATAGTTTTTTATTTTTAAAAATAAATTTTAATACAAATTTATATTGAAATTTATTTTTAAAAATAAAAAATTATTTTCAAAAGAATAATCAAACATATCCTTAATTTTTTTTGCTTAGACATGAATTTTTATATTTCAAAAAACATTTTTAGTTAAGTTATAAATAAAAAAACTGTTTCAAATTCTTAAAATCTTTATTCGTCAATCTTATTAACCTAACAAATTATTGGACACAAATATCATTTCACTAATATTGGGATCAAACCAATTGATTCAAACTTATTTTTATAATATTTGGTTGTAAGTAAAGGATAAAGTTAGCATAGGTATTGACTGCAATTTGAGGATTTTAAAAAGTGTGGACGCTTATTGTCTCGGACTCATTTGAGCATTTACTCATTTTTCAGGACTCACTGAATCCTTTAAACTAGTGATGCTTCCTTTTAATTGATTATTTTATTTCTAATAATTAATTATTTAAATATAAAAATAAACAATTCAAATGAAAGAAATTAATGTAAAGTAATCATATAACATATTTAAATATAAATATTATTTTTATAATTCATTATAATATATAATTAAAAAATCACAACTAATAAAAACACATTAACCTTTTTTCTTTTTTCATCAAATTTGCTAAACACTCTAATTTAATTATAAATGTAAGGACTCGTGATTGATTTCGTTGTTATTATTATTATTTTGAGTTGAACATTAAATCATTTTTCCAAAATTTTATTTTCAAGTAAAAAAAAAAAAAGGTAAAGAACACTCGTATCAAAGATCTTATAAAAATAGAAAAAAAAAATAAAGACAATAAAGATGTACTCGTAAATCGTATCCTATAAATTAATCAATTTACCTATTTCAAATAGCTTTTATATTTTATTTTTCTTTGAGCTTTTTTATTTAATTATTTTTTATAAAAAATGTTATTAAATTAAGACTTTTTTAAAATTAATTCTTTATTTGGAATTAAGCTAATTGTGGTGGCATAAGGTTCATTATTATTGTTGATGAAACTTAATTTTTTTTAAATAATAAATTTTGCTAATAAAATTGTGAAACTTGTAAAATTTTAACCCATGTCAAAATTTTATAAATTTCATAAATATCATAGCATATATAATTTTAAAAAAAATTAAGTTTCACTTTGAAGATAAAAAATGTCATACCTATATTTTCATATGTGTGTGTATATATATATATTTTTTTTTCTTTTATTCGTGTTGTAATAGTTCGACTGCATACATTGAAATAAGTTGTGTAAGCTGTGTAGTTGCTGAATAAAGAATTGTACAATACTATACTATGTGGTTGTTTGGCTTGTGTTGTTAATAGTGGGGGTTTGTAATTAATTGGGTTGTAAATGCTAGAGTTATATGAATTTTTACAAGTTGAAATATAATTATGAGAGTTGTGCAATTGATGTATAAGAAGTTGTGAGTTGCAGCACGGTATGATTTTATTATTTTTATTGTTTGATATGACTAGTATGGAGGGTTTTGATTAGATATTAAATATTTTGATGTAAGAGTATAACAGAGCTTTTTTGTTGTAAAACTCTTATTATAAAGCCTTTATTCTAGAAGAAATGAGAATTCTAATGCAAGGTGTCTTATTCAAGCGAAGTGGTTCTCATTCAAGTGAGATTGAGTTGTGCTAAATTAGTCATTATACAATGAAAAGCTCTCTGGATCCATTCTTGTCCAAACAAGAATGCAACTCGCTCAGGCTAGATATCTCTTGCTCAAGTAAAAATAGTATAAATTTGGATAGTTCCACTATCTAATTTTTCTTGCCCAAGCGATGATGAGGTCGCTTAAGCAAAAGAAGGGCTCACTCAAGCGAGAGTGCGCGATCTGGAGGGGTATTTAAGGAACCTCAACTTCGAAAAATCTTCATTTCTAACTAGACTGTCTTTCTCTTTACTTTTCTTTTTGTTCTCTCACCTTCTCCTTTAGAGAAAACCTTCTTGAATTCAATCTTCTTCTACATCCAAGTGGGAACATCTATTTAGTGCAGATATAGGTGACTTCTTATGACTTAATTCTCCTATTCTACTCCTTGGTTCTTGATTTTTCTTCTCAAAAGTTCTCTATTTTGAAATACTAAGAGGATCTAAGTTCTTGGGCATTGTTTACTTATGAGAAGTAGGATCTAAGAAAATGCATTTCAGGTAAAGGGAGCTTACGCTGGAAGGTCTTCGTTATTCTCTTAGGTATTATGATATTGTACATAATCTTATTTTAGCTGAGAACAAGTTGATATATGGGCAAACCTTAGGATAGAACAAGGAATACGTGTGAAGGTTCTTTGTTGTTTTGTGAATGATATGAAATTGCCCATGCTTGAGGTGAATGTTTGAAATACTGTGGTAGAACATATAACATGCTGAGAAGTCATGATATATGTGCTGAAAATGTTTAATATATACTAAAATACTTGATTAATATTGTGAGTTGCTTGGTTTTATTGTAAAAATATATAAATATAGATGTGCTGCTAAGACTTAATGAAATTATATATATGGTTGTGCTGCATTATGTTAATTTTCATAATTCTAGAGTCGAGTTACATGTTTAGATGGTTAGACATATAACGATAGAAAACATTGAGTTGTGCTTTGACTGGATCCAAATACCGGTTGCTCCCAAATCAGAAACAGTTCCTTCTAGATTACTTAGACTATAAAACTAGTTGAAACTGAAACGTTGCATTTGCATTAGATGGGCTAAACTATTGTATTGATTTGCTGACAATTGCTAATATATTAAGTCGTGTAGATAATTATATAACAGTTGTATTTATATTATGATTATGGTTGTTTGATGTGTTAATTCACCCTTGCATTTTGTCTGTGTTGATGTGTGTGTTTTGCAATGATCGTACGGTGGTATGTGAGTAGATGTGACAGATAATGCATCTACTTCTCATGCGTAGGTCTAGCTGAGAAATGTTTGGAGTCATCATGCTTTTGGGATATTGTAACTTTATTCATTTTGTTAGTTTAGGTCTTAGCGGTGGATCTAGACTATTTAACTACAATTTTCAAAAAATGTAATTTTGTTATAATTTGTATTTTGAGCTCCATGTCAAGCAACTCTGATGTAAATACTGTTAATGAATGATTATATATATGTATATTCAACGTTTCATTATGAGGCCCTATTTTATTATTGTATTGTAAGCTTTTACGCTTTGTTAAATCTTAATCCTTTTCAAAATACATAAATTTTTTACAAAGATAAATTGTTTAGTATGTCATAGATCATTTTCAAAAAGAGGTCGTGACAAGAAACTTATTTTTGTCTCGATTACTTTGCCTTGGTTCTTGCATAATTGTTTTGTATGTATTTGCATCACCTGATCCAATATAAGACAAAATATAATATTAATCTTTAGTTCAAAATGAACTTATAGTAATCTAATTTGCAATAGCATATGTAACCAAATCATTTGGTTTCAAAACCTATGCTCAAAATAGTTCATACTGACTCAATTGCTTTCTCACCCTAAGGTCTAACACTTCTTTGGTTAATTCTCTTGAGACCAAACCTTCATTTTGATCATTCAGATAATAAATGTCAAACAATTTAGTTTTTAAAATATTATATTAGTCCTTGACTTTCATCTTTGTTGGACATTTTAATCCTTAGACTTAAACACCGTCAAATAATATAATATTAACATGTTGCGTTAAGTGATACATGTAAAAGCCATTATTCAAAAGTTTCCCACTTTTCTTTCCCTAAAGAACTCTAATTTTTCCTAACCTATGGTTTTCTCTTCCGTAACCCTATGGGTTGTGTTTAGAATGCGTTGTTTGCAAAGCTAAGAGGTATGTCACCTTTACACATGAAGAGACCTTAAATTGTGTTAGAGAGAATTTCAATAATGGTGCTGTAAAATGTGATTGTGATAACATTGAAGGATATGAATGAAAGGAGTTTTCTAAAATTTGATTACTAGGTGTTGTTGATAGTGTAAAAAATTTGTGGGCAATTTAAAAAATTGAAGAAACTTATTCTAATTTTGGTTTTGGGATATTGAAGGAGGTAATGAAGATGAAGAAAATGAGAAGATCCAAGGTTTTGCATGAGTGTTCCTCTTGGGATTTGTATTAAGTTCTTAAAGTTTCCAGAACACCAACACTTTCACTCTTACCTCCTCCTTTTCACCTTGGTCTCTTCACTTTGGTCTCCTCTTAGACTTATTGGAGGTGATTACCTAAACTCAATTTTTTTCATTCTATTGAAATTTTCAAAATTAACATGCATAAGATTTTAATTGATAACTACATTAACTTGAAAAAAAAATTTGGAAAAGTATCAATAAAAAAATGTAAATGCTAAAGGTGTCCATCAATATTAATTTTTAGTGGTGATAAGAATGAAGAAGAAAAAAAAGGATAAATAGGTAAAAAGTTTTAAAAACTAAAGAGTAAAATGCACAACAAATGAGAATCTTAAGGACTAAAATACATGTCAATGATGAAAATATACATCACATTATATACAATATCATTTTTAGCACGTAATTAATCATATATGTCACTTAACATAACATATTAGCATTTTGATAATATCTAAGTTTATAAATTAAAACACCCAACAAAAATAAAAGTAAAGATTAATATAATATTTTTAATATTTCAAGAAACTAAATTACTTTACACTAATTATCTCACTAATTAAAACAAAAGTTTTATTATTTTCTTAATGCATTATTCATTAGAATAGATGTTGTAGCAAGCCACATGGGTGTACTTGGTGGGACAAGTTTTTCTATATTGCAAAACTTAACTTCTTTTTTTTATAAATTATATATTATTATTATATTTGTAAAATTTTAACACGTGTTAAAATTTTATAAATTTTGTAATTTTAGTTATAAAATTTAATTTTAAAAATAAAAAATTAATTTTTTTTATCAATATTAATGACAAAACTTATGTCATGTGTTCAGATTTATTCCACATAAATTTAGCTTTAAAGAAGGTATAATTTGTTTTCTTTAAATAATAATTAAATAAAAAAGCCTTTTATTTGAGTATATTATTTTTTTAATGAATATTTTATTATACTTATGAGTCATGTATGACTTATCCATGCCAACAAACACGAAGGTTAGAAAAACGCATAGCGATTTTCCTGGTGGCTGAAGAAGTCAATCATCTTTCAGTGAAGAAGCAGAACAGAAGTGAACTCCAATTAACCAAAACAAAGAAAATGTGCGCTTTGAGAGTGTTGAGAAGGTCGGTGTGCAACACCTCCTACGTCAAAACTTGCAAACCCTATCTCACTCTCAATTTCATCGCACATCACTACCAGCACCAGATCCGTAGAAATCTTATTCTCCAATCTTCTGCTTCTCAATTCGTAAAGCTTCAGAAGCTCACTGGCTCTGATTCCGGTAATTTGTTTTCTTGCTCCATTTATCATCACTATAAATTGATTAAAAAAATTAAAATTAAGAGCTTGTCTGTTTCTGTTTTTAAGCCGTTAAGTATCTCTTTTTTTTTTCTTCTTTTGATTGACTTTCATTTCAATTTATTTTTGGACAGGGATTATCGAGGTTAGCTTGGACAGGCCTGAAGCTAAAAATGCTATAGGGAAAGATATGCTGCGAGGCCTAAGTCACATGTTTGAATTGATTAATCAGAACTCCTATGCTAATGTTGCTATGATCCGTAGTTCAGTTCCTGGGGTGTTTTGTGCTGGGGCCGATTTAAAGGTTTATTGTTGAATTTAATAATACTTAAGAGGAGGTGTTTGGAAGAGCTTATGAAAATAGCTTATAGTTTCCAAAAAGCTGTTTTTAACTTATTTCAACAAGCTTCGTGATATAGCTTATTAGAATAAGTTATTTTTAACTTATTCCTAGAAGTTTCACGGTGAAATTTATATAAGTCCTTTATGTAGGAAAAAAACTTGTTGAATAAGTGCTTAATTGTGTTTCCCAAATGCATGAAAAGCAAGATAAAACAGTATTTTGTCAATGCATAATAGATGGGGCATAATTTGATCAATTCCCTACTGGACTCTTGCTGTTGGGCAAGCTAGTATTGATTTACTTTTACTTCTTATATTGCTAGATTAGAGTAGTTTCATGAGCCTTCAACTGCTTTTGCGTTTATTGGGTTGCAGGAGCGCAGGGCGATGAATCAATCAGATGTTAAGGCTTTTGTGAATTCTCTTCGCTCCACCTTGTCGTATCTTGAGGTTAGTTCATGCCATTCAATTATTTACATATTCTAATGGTTATGTGCTTATGAACATTGACTATGTTATGAATGTATGACAGATTAAGCAACATTGAAAATAGGTGTTTAGTTCTATTCTGTGTCTTGGGCTGCCGTTTTTTTTTCTACTCCCACTTATAGTTTGTCCTTGTGTGGTAGTAAGAAGAAATTTTGGCGATGGAAAATCTATATATGTCATGTATTTTATGCTCTGGGGCTGTAGTTAATGCATTTCGTAACATCCAATTTTTTATACTTCCCCTTGAAACTTGCATAATATTTATTTCTTATTCAGGCTGTTTGTGTACCAACTATTGCCGTTATTGAGGGAGTAGCTCTTGGTGGTGGACTTGAAATGGCTCTGGCATGTGACATTCGAATATGTGGTAGTTATATTGCAGCACTTTTGAAATTGGATTGTATTTGTTTGTAGCATTGTTTGGATGCTTCAGAGTGTGATGCAAGTATTAGACTCTTATTTTATTTATTTTGTTTTTCTTCTTTCATGGCATAGGAGAAAATGCTCTGATGGGTTTGCCAGAGACAGGACTTGCAATAATCCCTGGGTATGCTGTATACTTCTTCTATGCAGCGTATTGTATCTTTCACACTGTCCATTATTCCATTGCAGCTTCATATCACTTCAGTTCTGTTATCAAATAATGAAATAAATAAATAAATTTTAACATAGTTTGTAAAGAACATACCTAAAAAAAAATATAGCTATTTATAAATATAATGGTGGATTTGAATAATTGAATTGTTTTTATTCTTTTTATGAATGAATGCAATAATGTTAGCTTTATATTCTTGTATTGATACAGAGCAGGTGGAACACAACGACTACCTAGATTGGTTGGAAAAGCAATAGCAAAAGATATTATATTTACTGGTCGAAAGATTGATGGAAAAGAGGCACTGTCCATGGGTATGTAGATTAGTCACTCAGCTTCTTTCTTTCTCTAATTAGTAAAGACATCATCAAGCAGAGATGTGTCGGAAGAGTATCTTGAAAACACACTACATGCTTAGTGTTTCTGTGAACTTACAATTTCACTTTAAAAACATTCAAGGCATCATAAAGTTATAGTTTATGTCTGTCAAATTTACTTTGTCTTGAGAGTTCATTGCCAACACTGGGGCTGTGTTAGTCTAAGTTGTCTCATGTTGAACTCCAGGAAAACAAAGTGAAAGATCACTGCAGTTGTGCAACCTTCAATGAAAAAAAAAAAAGAAGAAATTTTTGTCATCAGATATGAAATAAAACTTCATGCTGCTTGTTTTCATTAATAAAGTATACTCTCTTTTTCTTCCCCAACAAATATTATGATACAGAGCTTCATAACAATTCAATAATGCAGGTCTTGTCAATTACTGTGTTCCTGCTGATGAAGCTTATCCAAAAGCACTTGCAGTTGCTCGGGATATCAATCAGAAGGTATCTTCATGGGAAATGTATCATTCCAAAATTGATATAGCTGTGGTTTACGACATTTAGAAATGCATGGATCAGGGCTTTTGTCATTGAATGTCCATGTATAAATGACAGTGACTAAATTTTTAAAATGTTGATTTTTCATTTTTGTTCTTTTGAAAAAGTTGATCTATTAAGGAAAATAATAAGATAGCTCATGTTATTAAGTACATTATTACAATTTTACATTCTGTGCAAAGACCCACAAATGATTCAGTTGCTGCCATTGATCCGTGTGATCCATCTAAACTTGCCATTTAAGAGAACATTTTGATAATTTGTCCAAAATAACTTTTGATTAGAAAGTATTTTTGAAGAATTATTTATCGAACAATATTTTTGTATTTGAGAGTGTTAGCATAAAATTAATTTTGTGAAATGGATTATCGTGGATGCTATAAAGTGAAATTACTATTAGGTGTGAAATTTCTAAATTAAACAACTTTTTATTGAGAATGTGATTTTTGAGATTAAACTTAATTGTTATAATTAAAATTTTGACAGGGTCCTGTAGCTATAAGGATGGCTAAAAGAGCTATTAACGAGGGAGTTGAGACTGATCTAACATCAGGTTTATTTTTGGAAGAAGATTGCTATGATGAGGTGTTGAATACTAAAGATCGACTAGAAGGCTTGGCTGCATTTGCTGAGAAGCGGAAACCAAGGTATACTGGTGAGTGAAAGGATTGGTCTTTGCTAATTGGCTCTCTATGTTGCTAGGGAGGAATGTCTACCATGTAGATTAGAGTGATCTAGAGCCTGGAATCAACTTCATTAGGAACTTTCACTACGATGCTCTTGGGACAATCTTTTCCCCTTTGAGTACAGTCATATTCCCGAAGCTGAAAAGCGCCTCTAAAATCATGCACCTTGGACACTATTCCCACTGAATCAATCATTTTCATTTATTTTTTCAATGAAGTGGCCTTGGGGTTTTCTTCATCATTTATATTATTGTTGTAAAGGTTAATTTTTTCTTTTGGATTTTTGCCGGCAATAAATTAATCTGTTTGGGAACTTGTATCATACACTTGTGGTGATTCAGCTTAAAGAAAAAGTCCATTTGGATAAACAATATATTACTATTCAATAATTGATGGATGGTAAAACTGTTGACTTGTAGCTTGTTTGGACAAGCATTGGTCAACTTCAAAATCACGTTTGAGGAGGATGGAGGATGATGTTTGGTTGTTACAAACAAAATTTGCCTTTGCTCATAAGGATATGTTTAACAATGAAATTGAATGAGATGGAATGAAATAGTGTAATAAAATGAAATTATCATGCTTATTAATTTAGTCCAGTTTTTGAGACTTGTTTATGAATAAAATTAAATATAAAACCAGAAGTATTAGTGGTCTTATATTTTAATTTAAATTAATCAAGTGTCATATTTTGTCTCGACAATTGTTGTGGACCTCCAATTTAGTCATCAGCTTGTGACTAAAATCAGTATTGTATTTTATACGGTCTATTCAAATAGACATTAGTACAATCAATACCTGTACTAAGTTTTATCCTCTACTTATAACCAGATATTGAAAAAAAAAATAGTTTGATTCAATTGATCCAAAAATTAGTGAAATGATATTTGTGTCCAATTTGTTAGGTTAATAAATTTGACGGATAAGAGTTGGCTGTCTAAAAAAATCAACAAATTCATTAACTTAATAAGCTGTCTTCACTACACAAGCTAATATGGAATTTTTGGATCCAAATTCTCTCTAGTTGTGGCAGAAATTGAATATCTAATTTTATTTTTGCTTGAGCGAAAATACAGAAAACGATAAAAAAATTTTATGCAAAATTAGTTTAAGTGAATTATTTTAGCTTAAGCAAATTTTGTGCATTTGAGGAGATGAAGACTGTGTATAAGGGAAAGAGACAACTGAGAATGGAAAGAGATAAGGAGAGCAAGTGGTATAGGAATGATGGTAGAGGAAGAATAATATGGAGAATTAGGTATAGAGGAAAGATGAAGAGATAAGTATGGGGTAGTGTGAGAGTGAAAAGAGAAAGAAATGAGTTAGGCATAGAATGGAAGGAAGAGAAAGTTGGAAGAGGAAAAGATGAATTGAATATGAGAAAAGGAAGAAAGTTGAATATAAAGGCTAAAGAGTGTTTAATATGAAAGTTGAAGAGAGAGTGTTAAGCATCAGCAGAAGAAGAAAAGAAGATTGAAAGAAAAGAAATAAAATTTACTTAAACTAAAAAAATTAACTTAAACTAATTTTACATAAAAAAAATTATCATATTTTTACTTAAAAAAATAAAATTAGATGTTTCAGTTCTCGCTAGAACTAAAGAAAATCTAGATCCAAAATCTTTCTCATCATAAATGAAATAAAACTTCTTGTTACTTCTTTTCATAAATATAGTTTTGCATTGGTTGGCTATGAACAAATTAAAGACTATATATATACTAAGGTATTTTTTTTTTCAATTTAAAATTATCTAAAGAATTTTAAATAAAGAGGCCACCCAAGTTTAGTCCAACTGTCCAACAAGAAAATAAAAAAGAATTTTAGAAAGTACGATGAGAATGTGGGGTTAGATTTCCTCTAACAACTATTGGGTACTTCAGCTCATTTGTTTTTCAGTGATATGATTTTGGGGCAGACCAAGAGTAATTATTTAGTTAGCCCAAGATGCTTAAAGTTTTTTCTAAAAGTTATGAGGCTGCAGTACAGCTAAAGTTTCGGCCCTCTTGTACCTTAAGGTCGATGAACACCTTGGCCCACTTTCCTTTTGATCAATGAATTATGGTTCACCAAATATATATACCTCCCTTACTTTTATGTACAAAGCAAACAAATAATACCTTTAAAAGTTTATAAAAAAAATAAACAAACAAAGATGATAGGTGTAGTTTTTAAATGAAGTAATGTTTAGATATAATTACTGCTAAATTCAGACAAAGTTCGAGTAATTATATATAAAGAAAAGTATAAAATTAGCTTTATTTGTTTGTGTGCAGATACATAGTAGTTGAGACCAATCGGTAAGAATTTAATATAATAAATTTGATAAAAATTATTTTTGACATTAAAAAATGTCTTTATCTTATTAATTTATTTGTCAAATAATCAAGGAAAATAATTGTATATATGAATTATTATAATTAGAACTAATAAATTTATAGAAGACTATATTTAACAATATGTTATTTATTGTTGGTATGATAGAGTTGCATCCAACTTGTCCAACCTCAATATCTATAGGTTGAACTGAAGTTGTGAGGATTCAGGGATCCCTGGTTCGGCATTAAGAGTCCTAATCCTAATCATATATACTTTTTATTTTTTCTTAATTGAGACTAAATCATATTATCATAATATCCTTTGAACTCTTATTTTTAAGTGAAATCAGTGTAAATTTTCTGTAAACGTTTTTAAAGTTTAATATTTTTTTTTCTATTTGAAAATAGAACATTGTTTCTCTTTTTAAAAATTTTGTCACCTATATTATCACCTATAAAAAAAAAAAATATGTTTAAGATAGAATTTAGGTAAAATTACAAATTACTCTTTTTATTCTTTAATTTTAAAGTAAAGTTTTGGTTCATTTTAGTATTCTAACTTTTCAAAAAATTTCAAATAGGTCCTTTTTTGTTAAAAACTTAACTCCGTTAAAAAGTTTTTTATGCAACGTGTATTGTATATTACTATTCATCGTCTTTCTCTTCATATCTCTAATTTTGTTTTCGGCACCTTTTTTTATTCTTTCTTCCTTTTATCTTCATTTTCTTATACTCAAAATTTCATTTTCTTGCCACTAACACCAAGCACCCACCCCAAATCCCAAACCATAAATAACCTAACTTTTTAATACTCATTTTTCATAAAATTTCAGTCATCTTGTTCCCTCTTCTCTAATGAAAAATTTATGCTCTCATTAACTTCGAGTCTGAAAACTCATTTACGTTTGTTTCATAGTTTGTCACAATAGTAGGTTCATCCAACGCTGACGATTGTAAAGGAGATAGAATTGTCATCGTCGGTGAATCCACTTATTTGTATCCTAATTCTGTTCCGGTTGTATTTTTCCAAACTCACTTACCCTATTATTTGTACTCCGATTTTGTTCTTCTTATTCATATAAACACTCTTTCCAGGTCCTTACCTCACATGTATTCCTTCTCCTGCTGTCACTCCTCTATCATTTTCACTAAAGAAACAAACTATAAAAATATTCAATTCTTTTATAAATTAATTGGTTTATCAAAGATAAGCCTTAAATTTAATTAAAAGAAATGTGATTCAATTTCTTTTTACCAAAAAACTAGATAGTTAATAGAGGGTATAAATTTTTTTAATCATATTGCATTTTGTCTAAAGACATTCAAATCAAAGATAAAATTCTAGGAAAAGAAGAGGAAAACATGGCTAGAGAAGACTGTTCTTTAGCTTTGAATGTGAATTCTTTAACAAGAAAATTGAGTTTTGAAAATAAGAAGAAAATGAAGATGAAAGGGAGAAAGAAGAAGAAGATATGACAAAGATAAGATCGAAGATCTAAGGAGAAAGATGATGAACAATAATACACAGTACATGTGATATAAAATAATAAATTTTTTTAACAAAGTTAGGGTCTTTAATAAAAAATGACCTATTTAAAACTTTTTGAAAAGTTAAAGGATTAAAATGAAGAGGAAAAAAGTTAAAAGATAAAAATAAATTTTATACTAAAATTAAGGGACAAAAAAAGTAATTTTTGTCTAGAATTTACAATACGACAAAATTAAATTTTCAGCGAGATTTCTTTTCATTCACAGGGATAATCTTAATCTAATTCAGGTCTATTTATTTAAAATATAGGAAATTTATTGTGATATATTCTATACATTTTTTTAATTTTATAATTTTAACTTATCAAGAAGTACTAAAACGTTTTCTTTTAATAAAATTTTTTAAAAAATTACACAATTCTAATTAAAAATATACATAATTTGTAGGGAAATTCTAATTAAAAACACATTTTTTCAAAACATATATTTCAATTAAAAATATATTTCTTAAAAAAGACAGTTCAAACGAACAAATCCTCTGGCCTATACTTTAAAATTAAAATACTTAGCCAAAAAGTCTAATTAGACGACCCAATGACCAAAATCCATTTTTCTTAAAGAAAACGCAATTTCCAAAATTTTAAAATATAGTTTAAAACAATTTCAAGATATTTCCGTAAGCACTTTTTTAATATATAGCAAGCGCAATACTTTTCTCAAAAGTCAAAATGAATGACTTTTGAAAAAAAATATAAAAATACATTTTTCAAAGTTATCAAGACATCAACATTTTACTGAAATAAATCCTAAGCTGACAGTGGTGAAAAAGAAATCCACGAAATATAAAGAATTACTCTAAAATTATTTTTCTCCTTCAAAACTGCGTAATTGAATAATTAATAAGCTATAGACTTGACCATGGGATATTATTCAATATATCTATATGCTCCTGTAATTTAAAACCATGGGAAATGATTCGATATAATTAATATACTTTTAATTATAAATTTAAAATAGTGTGCAAATTATATGTTCTTGTACTCTTTTAAAGAGGAATATTTTTAAGCCTATAAACAACCATTGATATGGAGATTAAAAAATAGATTTCACATGCATGTAGCTTCACAAAATTTATTAATATTGACCAGTTCATTAAATAGTACTTTGATAGGAGTTAAGTATAATGATCTTATGCTAGCTGTATTAGGAGGGTATAATTAAATTCAAAGTCAAGCCGTTTATATCTATCTGAAAAAAATTTCCGAATCATGCTTCCCCACCCCAAACAAATGAATACAATTATCATACGACATCAAGATCAAGTTGTCGAGCAATTTTGAAACAAAACATTTCGTGTATTTCATTCCTTTAAAACATCATCTACAATCTACATTGTCAAGTCACAGTTAACCGCAAAATGAAAAAAATAAAAATAAAAATGGCATGTATATGGAAATAATGTAATATTTAATTTGATTAAAGTATTTATATAATATTTACAACCATACTTCTTTACCTTTACACGATAACAATTTTTAAAGAAAGTGTGAAAATTTAAGGATGTAACAACTTGA